AAACGATTAAAATAGATATATTTAAAATATCTAACATACTTGACGTTTCAGTATGAGGCTTTTATCGGAAAGAAATGTTTCGTACATTCGATACTTTGAATACATAAATCGATATATCGTTCGAGATTAACCGGAAATACAAAATATTTAATGAAAACGCTATATAAATTTATTTTAATTTGATTTAAATTAAAAATAATTTATATATTAAATTTATTAATATTTATTAAAAATTTTTATTTTTTTTTAATTCATGTTATATATTATATATAAAATATAATATTTGAATTTATTTTTTTAATGTTTTATAATTTTAATAAAAGAAATTTAAGAAGAGATATTTAATGCATTCAAATATTATATTTAATGTAAATATAATACAAATAACAAATTTTTAGGTAATAATTTTTGATAATAAAAAATTAAAATATTTTTTTATTGAAAGCTTTGTTCAAATTGAAATTTTCAAATGAGTCTCTAATCTAGTACATTCAAAAACAGAAGGTATTAATAAGGGCGCTGTGGCGCCTATGAAATTACAAAACAAAATATTAAGAATGAGAAAAATTAAGTGAATTTTAAAATATTAAAAAATAAAATTATAACATGAATTTATAAAATCGTATATAAATAGTTATATACTTTTTGACTTAGAAATATAAATTATGAAATTTGTATATCTTTTTATAACAAACACTTTATAAATTATATTGAATTATAGTATTGAATATTTTAATAATATATTAACGTAAATATATTAACGTAATCACTATAAAAAATGCGTCAGTGTTAATTTTTAGAAATATAGTTATTGAGTGGGTGTAAAACGAATACGCCTATTGTCATAAATAATGAGAATAAAGTAAGTAGACAATATCTAAGTATTTCGTAATTAATAATTGTGTAATTATTATCTACTGAAATAATGTAAAAATAAAATATTATTATATATAATTTAAAATATATGGATTTGACTTCAAATTATACAATATTCGTTAAATTTAGGTTAGAAGATATTTAAATTCTTATTTAATTTATTTTTTATTAGTTTGTATTTTATTATTATTTTATTTTCCAGATGGAGTAACATTTGGCAATATATTTATATGCATTTCTAAATTCAACTACATTTTGATTATACATAATGTGAAATTTTTTATATAGATATTTTTATACATTTTGGATTATCTTTTTACATATGTTGATTTTGTTAAAGATTTATGAAAATTAACATATTTGTAAAAAACAATTAAATAGTTGTAATATATTAAATTGTTATTATATTTTATTATTCTATATACAATGTATTTTGATTATAGAAAAGATTTAAAACATTAATATTATATTTTTTAAAAATGCATTTTTCTATACCAGATACACAAGAATTTATTGATGCAGCTGGTAATACATATGTTGTGAGTATATTTGAAATATTATATTATATGTAATTTTATATTAATATATATTTATTTTATCTTAATTTTCAGGGTTATAACATTCATATAAATGGATTATTTCATTGTACTGTGAGATATAAACAATTGTATAGTCTTCATGAACAATTAACAAGAGATTTGGATATATCTCTTCCATTATTTCCACCTAAAAAATTTTTTCCCTTAACAACAAATCAACAAGAAGAACGTCGTCTTTCTTTGGAAAAATATATTCAAACAATTGGACAAAATCCAGTTGTTAATAATTCAGGAATGCTAAATGGATTTTTATTAAATGCTCAACAAGAAACCATAGGAGGACCATCTAACAATGAAGTTATGGACATTTTTCTTATGAATGGTTGCAAAAGAACAATAAATGTTTCTACAAGGGATCATTCAGGTGAAGTTTTAAAGGTAACTTTGCCATATGAATATATAACTATATAATAAAATTATAAAACACAAACTATTTAAATATTAATTCATGTTTTATTTAACAGAAAGTATACAAGCAACTTAAGCTATCTGAACAATATTATTCTTATTTTGTATTATTTATTGTTGCTCAAGATGAAGCAAATAGCATTCACTGTGAGTATATCTTTATTATATTTTATATATGATTAACAATTAATTTACTTTTTATACATTTTTAGTATTACGAAAACTACAAGATTTTGAATCTCCTTTTATAACAATTAAACATCTACATATTATAGGAAGTAGAATTGTACTTGGAAAAAATTATTGGGATATAGGATATGATCTTAAATTAATGAATGATGAAGTGGCAACAAATTTATTATATATTCAAGCAATTGCAGAAATTCAATGGGGATGGATTCATATTACAGATGAATTAAAAAACCAACTTAATGTTTTACAAAAACAAGGAAAAGAAAAAGAAGTATGATTATATATATAATATATTATATTAAAGTATAACAACTAATATTAAGTTTAATGATAATTTTATTTTAGTATTTAGATATAGTGCGTAGTTCAAAATATTACGGATATATTCAATTTGCTCCATGTTTTTGTGATTATCCTCAACCAAATTCAAGAGTATTAATTGCTATAGGTAGAAATGAATTAAATTTGCGCATATTATTTAATGAAGAGCAACATGAAAAAGTATTTAAAGTCTCACGAATGCGTTGTTGGCGAATAACTACATTACAAAATGTAAATAATTGTAAAAAAAACAAATATTTTTATATATATTATAAAATGTCTTGTTTTATTTCAATTTTAGGGATCTGAAAGAGGAGGTGAAGAAAGTGATGATTTTAGTTTAGAGTTATCTTTTGAATATTTAATTGCTAAAAATCAATTACAGTGGATTACAGTTATATCGGAACAAGCTATTTTAATGTCTGTATGTTTGCAAGCTATGATTGATGAATTATTATCAAAGACTATTGATAGTAGTAATAAGATTCAGGTTATTAAAAAGAAAATACTATTAATTAATAAACATAGCTATTTTGTTATTATTATTTTTTTATTATTATTTAGTTATTAAATATTAAATTATTTTTTCATAGGAGGTATCACAAAAATCTTGGACATATGTTATGAGAGATGGACAAAGTATTACAGTAGGATCAAGTTCTAAAGAATCTGAAGATAGTAAGAAGGTATGATACTTTAATATTATTTATACTTTATTTATTTATATTCTTGGGTTCTATTTTAGAATTATTATTTTAAACAACCTTCTAAATCAGAACCAATTATGAAGAAACTTGCAGATAGACTATCAATAGTAAAAATAAAACGATCTAGTGATGTGAGAAATAATATAAGTGATAAGGTTCAAGGAAAACAAACATTGGAATATGATATTAAGGAAAATAATGCATTTCGCATGATCGGTGATGATGATTTATGAATATATAAATTGGAATTATGAGATAAAAAATATATCATAAATACCTCAAACTTTTTAAATTGTATTAACTTGTATTTTTGCTACTTTTATTTTTTATGCTTAAATGATGTAAAATATAAAACTTTTATGTCAACGGATCTATAACAATTTTTTTGTATAATATATAAATATATTATTGATAATAAAAGCATTTATTAAAATTAATGCAAATATTTAATGAAATAAATAAACAAAACTAAAGTAAATTATAGTATATGTAATACTTTATTGTTCAAATCAAATACGTAAAAGGCAGTGTCTTATATTAACAATTGTATTTCATTTTGTTTCATTTTAAATGAAAATTAAAATATACTTTATTTTAATACTAAACAAAAATAATTCATACGTTACACTATGTAATGAGATTATAATTCTAACTAGATAGGTAATTTTTTGTTTGAAAGACAATTTTCTGCCTTCAGTCTGTATATTTTGCCCAAACATATAGAGAATGATACAATTTATAAGAAAAATGTAAAATTAAAATGATTTCCTAAACAAATAATTATAAACTGTAGTATAAAACAACAGCATTTTTCTAACACGAAAAATAAACAGATTCGCTATTGTCGTATGAAATAGACTTCTACATGTATACATTATATTCATAAATATCATAGATCTCTATTTCATAGACTATGTAAATTCTTATAGAAAAAAAATTTTATCGTGTTTTTTCAATGTTGAATAATAGATAAATATATGGAAATGCATAACTATTTTTTTACAATATTATTTCCACATAATTTTTTTCTTTTTGTATTTTAATAATACATGTGGAAAATAAACATAGAAAATTTGTTACTACAAACGTATTTATGTTCTATCAAGATGTAATTTTACACAAATAAAATTTATGTTTTTGTTAGATTATTGCAACATGTTTATATATTGTATGTTGCAATGAATGATGTGCTTTTTTTTCAAATAGTAAGATTTTTTTAAAGAATATAACTTAATTATCTGTTTTTCTTATTAATGATGAAACTCAATACTATTGTTTTAATAATCTTGTATATGTCATGGTAGGGCCATATAAAGACTAGATTTAATAATATTTGAATCTTTTCCGACCATAATGTGCATATCTTCTATATCAAAAATATGTTGTTATTCTGTATTGTTACTTCCTAAATAAACAAAAAGTCAGTTCTGGCTATAGTATTTAAGTAATATAAATCTATTTTCGCTACTTGAAAAATAGCCCAACGTCAGCAAAGAATTACTCCATTATGTTATAATATTCTTACGATACATACACGCGTTATTGATTTTATGATATGATTTACATAAATATGTGTTGTAATTTTTACCAATACAAAAATGATAACTTATTTGAAGATTTCAGATGTGGTAATTAAAAAATGTATTCTAAATAAAATTTTATATAAATTTAAAAAATATCATAAGTCTTGCCATTATTGAAGACTATGTCAATAATTTAAATAATTAAAAAATTATTGAAATATGTTCTAATACGGAAGACTAATTTTAGTAAATTAATTTATTAAATATTTCACATTGAAAAATTATCACTCTCATCGTAATCTTGCATGGTGCAATGATATTACTAAAAAATTTACAATTTGTATTTAGAAATTCAATATTCTGTAACTTAATTATATCAACAGATAAACGTGTAATATATCTATGGCAGTAAAGAAAGAATAAATTCTTCACTTATCTGATAATAATGTTTCATACAAGTAAACAATATATTAGTGTATAAAACTACATAAATATTTTTAGGATAACTTCCATGCACATATTTCGTATGAGTAATGATAATAATGTAATATTATGATCAAATGGCATAATATGTGACTAGTGTGAGATGAAAACCAAATATCAATTTTACATAGATGCTTATCCGATATTTTTTTTCTACTAAAAGCAAAATTATAAATGACATAATATAATTATTTATATTTCTTTTGATTTTTAATTTAAAAAAAAAAAAAAAAAAAGAAAAAGATTTTATATCTCTATAAGAATAATATAATAACAGTATATAGATAAACATAATAATAAAAAATTAAGTATAATGATTATTTGTTCACCTAAATCATGTAAAATAATTTACATTGGTGACGTGAGGCTATTGGCTAGTATTAATTACTCGTACTTGATTTTCAAAGAGAGACAGAACATTGTTTTGAAAGAAAATATTTTTAACTGTCATTATTCATTTTTTTTTTAAGATAGACACTTCATCAATAAACAATGCTCTTCTCTTTGATGAAATTAAGAACGAGATAAAATCTATTCATTTATACAACTGTAC